AGGAACAACGAAGCAGATGGTTGCTCCCTCACTATGGCCTGGTATAATAATGTCATGTTATCCGATCTTCTCTGACACTCTATGTCTGCTCCAGCATCTAACAAGTTGAGTGCTACCTCCAGCTGGTTCGTCCACAGCGAGAGACTCAGTGGGGTCTCATCACCACCGTCTTTTAGACCAACGTTTAGAGATATCTCAAGTTTACCACTGGTGCTACCTGATTCTGTGTGGGCGGGAAAAGGGAGGAGTCAGAAATAATTATAATTATTACTGTTTAATAACAAAATTAATAATAATAATAATAATACTTACTTACCTTTATATTGAAGCATCACTTTAACCACTTCATGATGTTTATGTGCTATGGCAAGGTGTAGTGCCGTTCTTTGTCCAGGGTCCACATTAATGTCAAACGGTTCGGGTTCCTCAATAAATTCCGTACCAGGATCAGTGGGAGGGGCTGGGGGCGGGGCTTGTCTAGCTGGGGGCACCTAAAATATTTCAAAATTATTTTATATAGTATTACAGTTACAAGTACTTTTCTCTTTTTAATTTATTAATTAATATATTATTAATATTATTACCGGTGACATGCGAGGTGAATTATGGCCAGATGGTACAAAACCATATCCGTGTGTTCTTGTGGGCGGGCCAGTCTCCTCATCACTGTCATCACCAAACGGGTTACTATTAACAGCAGAAGCTGCAGCCCGACCAATGACAGGAGATGTATCACAACTAGCAGCTGTAGATAAAGAATTCAACTGCAGCAACTGCTGAGAAGCAAAACTATCCGTTTCCCTCCCTCCTCCAAGAGAAGGTGAAGTGGAGGCTATGTTACTAAGAACCGAGAGAGCCCCTAGCGTTGAGGTGGGGCTCACGAGATCAGATGAATTATGAGAAATGGGCGGAGTCTGAGCTGGGACAACCTTGACCGGTATTGAAAAGCTAGGCGGAGCCTTTTTTAGATTTGTCTGAAGGTTAGGATCGGCGCCATATTGGAGTAGAACTTGTATGAGATTATGTAGACCAATGGCAGCTGCCACATGCATAGGGCTCTCCCCTTGATGATTAACATGATCAACGTTAGCTCCGTGACAGACAAGGAAAATGGCCGCCCGCTCGTTAGACTCTAAAGCCGCTTGATGAAGGAGACTGTTCCCTGTTAGGCTGTCGATTGCGTTTGGCGTAGAACCTCTTTCTATGAGTCGAGCAGCATAACGATCACTCTCCCCTCTAGTGGAGTTAAGCTGAGTTAGGGCCAGCCAGAGGGCTGTGGAACCAGAGTTATTACGCAACTCAAGATTAATACTAGAAAGGAAAAAAGGAAAGGGTAAAGTACAAGACAATAGAAGACATAATAATAAC